TGCGGATAGACCAAACAAGTTAAGAGTCGTGCCTATTTACACTTCAACACATCCCACCATCTAACCCCCGCCGCCCCTCCCCTCCCTCCAAAAAAAACACTCCATCCCCCACCACCTAATACATAAATTCACTAACCTCCAACAACTGCCCATCCAGCGCCCGCTTCGCCAACACGCTCTCCTCGCGATTCTCCGCCGAAACACGCTGCTCATACGCCATAACCAACAACCTCTTAACCTGATCTTCACCAAACCACTTCCCAGGCACGCCAAAGCCATTACCCATATCACGGGCGCGCTGAACAATAGCATCCGGACCAGCAGTAAAGAGGTCGAAGAAGAGGGCGGCGTGGGGGAGGGCAGCGGCGTGTTCGATATTCTTCAAGTTTTGCTGGAGGACGAGGATGTTGAGTTGCATGAGGGCACAGCCGTGGGCGTTGAGGCGGACGAGGCGGGTGGTGAGGAGGGAGAGGAGGTAAGTGTCCATTAGGGAGGCGAGGCCGCGGGTGATGTGGGTGTACGAGGAAGAGGGGATGTAGGTGGATACGGTGGTGTCGAAGGAGACGAGGGAGGAGTTGAGGGAGAGGATGGAGGGCGAGGGGTCGCTGAGGAGGGTGTCGATGTAGAGGGTGGTGGGGATCGAGGTGTCGAGGGAGTGGAGGATGGTGGAGCGGATGGAGAGGTGGAGGGTGCGGAGGGCGCGATTGGAGAGTGAATGGTAGGTCGAGACTACACGGTCAAAGTGCCTGGGGGAGGAGGTGAGGTTAGTTAGGATGTTGTATGGGTTAGGTGGGGGATTCAAGCTTACTCGGCAGTCTCAGAGCTGAGGGGGAGGTACACCCGTGCGGTTTCTGCGCGTGGTTCAGAGGAGGACAACACTGTCCACCGTCTGTTGTGCCTCTGTCCAGTTGTTTCGGCGTTTGACGAGTCCGAGGCGCGGTCGCTGATGTAGCGTAGGTTTGCAATCTTCGTGGCCAACCACTTCATGCTTGTGAAGAGGAGACAAAGACCTACGATGCTCTTCTTATCCTGTATCATGTCTCCCTGATCCAATGGCTCCGCATCGACTGCTTCTATGAGGAGATCGATCTCGTTCTGAACCAGCTGTGACAAATTCTCGGTGTCGGATGGGTCTGATTGGATGAGTTGGGCAATGAGGTCTTCCATCTGCTCTGATTCTGCCCAAATCCCGGGTGCTTTCATCTGGCGGCCAGTCGAACTAGGCTGTGAGCGACTGGCCAGGGTTTTGTACCAATCTGCACACTTTTGCGCGTACGTGTCCATTTGATCAATAATGAGCTGTGAGAAAGCTTGATCATGAGGCAAATTATCGAGCATCTTGCAGAAAGCAGTGACTAGCGTGAAGAAATGAGCAGTACCCTAGCAAGTCAGTATACAACCTCAATAAGTAGCATGGATTTACTTACCTTGAAAATGGGCTTTTTGGAGTGGCTCGACCAATTAGGGTCTTCGTTGAACGAATCGACCTCGATAAAGATCTGTGCTGACAACTCAACCAGCGTCTCATCAAGCTGCGGATGGAACACATTGACCAAGAAATCGTCAAGAAAGGAGGTCAATGTACTCATGACAATGTCTGAACCAGGGGGAACAACCTCCTTAAGCCTGTTCAAGAAGTCCAGGGATGGTGGTAGAAGTATGCCCATATTAAAGACAGATGGCTGTACGAGGAGTTTGTGTCCCGTTGCGCTACCGTCGAGCTTGGTACTGGTGCTTGCAACCGAGTCTTCTGCTTTCTTCGAATCGGTGACTAGTCCAGGAACAGACGACTTTAGAATAAACGCAAGATCTTTCCGCTCATTTGATATTTCAGGACTTTTGGTATCCACGTCAGAGAGCTTGAACATGCGCTTGTTTCTGTCTCGTGGGGTGCGTGAGAATGCACTGCCAGCGGATGCTTGTCCTTGACCCGTGCGATACGACGCATCGCCGTCGGTAGCAAGGTAGTCGTGGAGCAGTGAGCGCATCTGATGAATGGTTAGTCTCAAAATGTGAAGTTTATTATTTCATTACCCACCTCACTCTGATACAGCTTCCATAACTCCTTGAAGCCGCGGGTAAGACTGGCACTCGACGAGCCAGAACCTTCCCGTCGAATGATGCCAACGACAACATCATGGACAACTCTATGGCTTTCTGCAATTGCCTCGAAACGCGCATACAGTGTCCACATGAGATCGTTGAGGAGTGTGCTTCGGATGTCGTCGCTCTCAATCTCCGTCTTCTTACCGCCTTTTCTCGATGCATATGCGCGGAGAATGCTGGGATGTCGTTGCACTACTTCATTGTTCGACTTATCAACAACCTTGAACAGCTCCACAGGAAGTCGCTGTTCGATTGTATCTACAGCAACCTCGAGGCAGCCCATCTTGTTGAGAGCTTCTATGACTAATCGAATGTACTGGAATGTGTCTTGTTCAGGATTATGAGCAGAGTCATCTGTCATCTGAGACTGTAAGCAAGGCATCAGAATCCGACTGGAGAGCAGTGCTTACCGGTTCTGAGGTGTCAAGCTCGTCCAAGAAGTAGTAGAGTAATCTACCTCTTGCATCGGTCTGTGCTCGCTCTGAGATATCACCCTTGACCTGGTTGTGAGCGTACTCTTTCCACCTGTCCTCACAGTATGGCGATTTGAGGTAGAGATGACTATGGAGTTCTTCAATGAGGATATCTGTAAGCGAGACTTCTTGGTTGCTAAGATAGGTGCGCAAATCAGACAAGGCGCCAATCTTCTCCATTTCCGTCTTGCGAATCATGCGCAAGGCATCTTGAAGAATGTCAACAGCAGTCAAGAAGCGCTTCTCAGATATTCGTGCTTCCAGTCTTTCAGGCACGAGCTGCAGCTTTTCAATGACGTCGAGAATCTGCAACATGTCGTCGTAACTCTGCGAGGTGGTCGCAAACTCCTTGAGCTCAGGCTTGGCTGTGGAGAGCTGCGACTTGGCCGAGGCGAGGGAGCTCTTGAGGGTCCGTACACGATGCTGTGAGCTCTGCAGACTGGACTGGATCTGGTGGAAGGTACCAATGGAGCTGTTGAAGCCCTGATGATGCTCTACACAAGATTAGCATACCCTCACAGGAGTGTTTTTCTTTGCACAGGATCGTACCATTCACGATTCCCTTGAGAGCCTGCTGCAACTCGTCGTGGGTTTGTCTAAAACGACCTGCCTGATTGGCGAGGCCCAGAGAGCTCGAGTCCATGAGCTTCAGGGCGACCTCGATTGGGATGCATTGGTCCTTGGTCATGAATTCCCAGTTCTGCTGGATGTACTGCAGCACCTGCTCGATGCGCTGGCTGCCTGGCCCATAGTTCTGACCTGTTCCATAGCCGGCTCTACCTGCGTTTCCTCCTGCGCGTCGATCTGGGCTTCGTCGCTGTGCCGGGCTTCGTTCGACACTGAGTGGGCGTGAGAGTACTTGGGTGGATGGATTGCGCGGTGGTTGAAGGCCTCCATATCCCCCAGGCCGTCGTTCGCGTTCGCGTTCGCCGTCGTTGCTTGGGCGGTGGGGGGACGTGTCCTGCTCGGGATGCATGCCTCCGTAGCCACCGGGTCGCCGTGGCCGTTCGCCGCTGGGTCTGTCGCCATGGCCATTTTCGGGCCCAGCATAACCCGCCGATGCGCCGTTTTTGTTGTTGTTGTTGTTGTTGATGTAGTTGCCATTGGTGTAGCCGCCACCATTGGGACCAGCACCCGCCCGCGGGAAGCCAGGATTGCGCGACATGGCCGCCTCGAGGACTGTTTTAGAGCCGCGAAATGATGGTGTTTTGGTATTATGTGCAGGCGGGATGCAGGGTCATGGTGTGCGATTGCGAGGTGGGCGGTGTCCTAGGAGGCATGAGGCTGTTGTGCTGTCGTGAATGTGAAAGTGAAAGTGTTGTGAATGTGGTGGCTTGCAGGTTGGGCGTGTGGTTGCGGGGAGCTCGGGGGTGCATATCTACCCTTGTAGGTAACCGGGTAGGCTGTAGGGGCCTCGTTAGTGTAAGACTGCAAGTGTGCATGCTATTGCACTGTAGAGTAGGGGTGTTTGTGCCAAGACTACGGCCTGCCGAGTCGCGCGCGCTTCCCTTGTCCGGGAGCTTTGCTTTTCTCAACCCACTCATTCACTGCCCATCCAACCCATCGTCGCACGCACTTCGCCCTCGACGGCCTGTCTCCCCCTTGCTATGTCGCGCTAATCACCTTCTCCACGTTCTCTCCACATCAGAGCCCCGAAAACAAAAGGACAGCTCTCCCAATCGCGAGAGCCCTTCATCATCTCCATGGCCGCCGTCTACGCGAATGGCGCGAATGGCGTGAATGGCGCGGGCTCCATGTTCCCCCCGCCGCGCTATTCGGACGTGCCCAGTGCCATCACCATCTCAGTCGCCGATGACGAGGGAGGCCAGCTCGATGTCGAGATCCCGCTAGACGAGGATATTCAGGACGACCCTACCGAGCTGTGCGCCATTCTCGAAAACGAAAAGAGCTTGACGTCCACTTGGGTTAAGGTCGCAGTGGCCTACGCAAAGCACAAGAAGGTTCATGTGGCCATAGACGTCTTGAGCCAGGCGATTCAGGTCTTTGGCAACGCGCGCGGCGAGGACAGGCTCAGCATCCTCAACGGCCTGTGCTGGCTGTATCTCCTCAAGTGTCGGGAGGCGCCCCGTACCAAGCAGGGTATGGCAACAAACCCCACCCATGAGACGCGCAAACATGAAAGCTGACCTGTGTAGACTCCCAGACGGATCCCGATGTCAAGTTGAAGGACTACTACCTGCAAGCAGCCACCAGTGTGCTCAACGACGCCTCTCGAATTAGCCCCTCGCACCCACCGCTGTTCCTCGCTCGCGGTGTCCTCTACCTCCTCCGCGCCTCCCTCCAAGGCCCTGCGACGACGGCTGGACCCAATGCTGTGAGCCCCGAACGCATGGAGACACTCAAGCAGGCTGCCAAATGCTTCGAAGATGCACTCAGGGCATCGGGTGGGAGGAACTTGATGGCCAAGATGGGCAAGGCGCGCGTCCATTATTCCATGGGCAAGTGGGCGGATGCTCTCAAGGGATACCAGAACATCCTGGAGAGTTCCCCAGACATGCTGGATCCTGATCCGCGCATCGGCATCGGCTGCTGCTTTTGGCAGCTCGGTTTCAAACACGACGCTGCGGGCGCATGGCAGCGATCGCTCGAGTTGAACCCAAAATCCAAGATTGCGCTTACCCTGTTGGGCATTTACAACCTCCACCTAACCGCCAGCTACTCGTCGACAGACCCCAAATTCGTCGAGCTATACAAGAAGGCAATCAACCAATACATTGTACCCTCGACCAAGCTGGACAACCAATTCCCCCTCACATGCGCCACCCTAGGAAGCCATTTCCTCGTCAGGCGTGACTTTGCAAAGACGGAGACGGTGGCTATGCGCGCCATCAGTCTGACGGATACCAATGCCATTGCCAGTGACGGCTGGCATCTTCGGGCCAAGAAGGCACATCATGAAGAGGACATTGCAAAAGCCGCCGAGTACTATTCAAAGTCTGATCAGGCCCGAGGTGGTGAGGAACGTGGTTTCATCCCAGCGAAATTTGGGTTGGCACAGATGAATGTTCTGATGAGCAACTATGATGGCGCCAAATTTCGTCTCGAAAAGATCCTACAGCAGTCGCCCGTTTTAGAAGCGCAAACACTGCTTGGCACGCTGTACGCAGAGGATGTCTTCGCCGCTCAGAACAGCAAATCCACCGAGGACAAGTCGGCGGAACTCAGAAAGGCTCTCAAATATCTCGAGACAGTTCAAAGTGCCTGGAAAGACCCAAAGCGAAAGGCCGTCCCCGACCAGTCAGTTTTGTTGAACCTGGCTAGGTTATACGAAATTGACCACCCAGAAAAGAGCTTGAGGTGTCTTGAAGAGGTGGAACAAATGGAGCTGGACGCAATCCCCGAAGAAGACTATCCGGAAGGCATTGAAGACCCAATTCAGGTCAAGGCGGCGTTGCGCGAGTTCCTCCCCCCTCACTTACTCAACAACATGGGTTGCTTCCATTACCAGGCAGATCGCTTTGTTACAGCACGTGAATTTTTCCAGACGGCCCTGAATGCCTGCGTCAAGGCAGAGAGTCGTGACGAGGGCATCGACACGGACGCACTCGTCACTTCAATCAGTTACAATCTTGCACGCACGTACGAAGCCGAGGGTATGTGGAAGGATGCTAGGAGCGTTTATGACAGTCTTCTTCAACGACATGGGGACTACATTGACGCACGCCTCCGTTTGGCCTACATTTCTCTGCGGGAGAACCCCGAGGGCGAAGGTCCCAGGGCGGTCAAGGATCTTTTCAAGGCGAACGAGGACAACACCGAGGTCAGGGCGCTGTATGGCTGGATGCTGAATAAGACCAAGAGGAGGACCTCGCAATTCGTAACCGACGAGGAACAGCGACATTACAAGCACACTCTCCAGAAGTTTGACAAGCATGACGCCTATTCCTTGATGGGTATGGGTAACATCACTCTGGCGATTGCCCGCGAGATGCCGAGGAGCTCAGAACAAGAGAAGGAGAAACGACGGAAGCAATACGAGCGAGCGGTTGAGTTCTTCGAGAAAGTCTTGCAGATTGACCCCAGAAACGCGTATGCTGCGCAAGGTATCGCAATCGCTTTGGTAGAGGACAAGAGGGATTACTCGACCGCCTTGCAGATCTTTACCAAGGTCAAGGAGACACTCAAGGATCACAGTGTCTACACCAACCTCGGGCATACTTACTGTGAGATCAAGCAGTACAACCGAGCCATTGAAAATGTAGGTAAAATCAAGTCCATCTCAGGATTCACGTGCTGACAAAATCACAGTATGAAGCAGCCCTGGCTCGCGATCGCCAAAATGACCCAAAGATCCTTCAATGTCTGGGACGAACCTGGTATCTCCGCGCCCGCCACGAGAACAGCATGGCCGGTTTCCGCACCGCGCTCGACTACTCCAAGCAGGTTCTCTCCATCATGCCCACAGATTTATCTGCTCAGTTCAACGTCGCCTTCCTGCAGTTCCAAGTGGCAACCGTGCTATACAACCTTCCCGAGAACCAACGCACCCTGGAAGAAGTTGATTCGGCAATCGTCGGTCTCGCCGAAGCCATCGATACCATGGACAAACTTGCCAAAGAGGAACATCCCCCCTTCCCTCGCTCCGACATTACCTCTCGTGCAAACATGGGTCGCAACACAATGGTCAAGCAACTCGAACGTGTCCGTGAGAAGCAACTCGCCTACGAAGGTGAAGCACTCTCCAAGAAAGAAACCGCGCGCCGCCTCCGCGAAGCCGAACTTGCGCGTCGCGCAGAAGAAGAAGCACGTAAAGCTGCCGAGGCGGCCGAAAGGAAGCGCAAGCTCCTCGAAGAGCAAGAACGCATTGCCCAGCGTGACCGTGAACTCATGGAGCTCCGCAGTCTGGACGAGCGCAAGCGCATGGAGGAGGAAGAGGACCGAGAGACGAGGAAGGCGGAGCGCAGGAGTCGACCCAAAGGCCCGAAGCGCAAGAAGAAGGATGCGGATTCGGACACGGCGGCTAGTGGGTCTGAAGACGAGCGCAGGAGTAGACGCAGACGGACGACTGTGAGTGGCACCGAGGCTGGAAGCGACGACGAGAAGCCGCGGGAGAAGAAGAAGAGAAAGCTTGCGAGGAAGAGTGAGCCCGCGGGCAAGTACAAGAGTAAGGAGTACATTGATAGCGAGAGCGATGAGGAGCTGGCTGCGGAGACTGCGGCGCCCGAGGATGAGGCAGCAGGCAAAGAGGCAGAGAGTAGAGATGAGGAAGCTGCGACGGCGGCACCCCGACCCCGCAAAGCTCGCGTCGTAGACGACGAAGACGAGGATGAAGACGAAGGGACTACAGCGCCAAAGACTGACGTGGCAATGGAGGAAGACGAGGACGAATAGGAAAGATGCTTGTTTGGAAGCGAAAAAGTCGTCTTGAGCAACGGGAAAGGGAAAAGGCGTTTGGCAATGTCTTGTTCTTGCTACTCGAAAGGGAAGGTGTCGTAGTTACAGATATCAGGTCCTTTCTTTTCCTATCCAAGGGGACAAGTTTTTTTTTGGAGCTCGTTGTTGCATTACCTACTGCATAAGCTATGGCGTCTCTGGAAAGATTCAGATGTAGGAATCGGGAACGCGGTTCTAGGATAATGCAGAGAATTTTGGCGTGTTGGCTTTGGAGAGCAGTGGGCTTTTCTTGACGACTGTGTATGTACGGTATAGGGATATGTCTGTGATGGGCCCTATTAGCAGCAGGATATGGTGGTACCCAGTCTTTCACGTCGCCGCACGAGATACCAAGTCGACTGACCCAGCACCACCCTACCCATCCCTTTCCATTTACCCAGATCAATCCCATATACTCCCAACCATGCACACAAACTCCACCCTACCTGCACAGCACATGTAACCATTGAACACCCACACACCAGCCCACGTGACCCCCCCCCCCCCCCCCCAAGGCATGTCGGCGAGGTCCCGTATCCCCCGTCCGTGCGCGCCCCTCCCACATCGCCGACAGCGAAACCAACTAGCACACATCAAGTTCCCATCGTTCGCACTAGCTATTCAATCCTCCTAACCATCACCGGCCATCTTCCAGCTCGACCGCGATGGTTTGTCAGATATGGCAAGGCAAGGCAAGGCAAGGCGGAGAGCGCCCTGGAGAGGCGAAGATTTTTTCAGGATTGCATTGGGGATGATTAGTTATTACCGGTGCAATGGGTGGCGGTTGTATGCGTGTTTGTGCTCTTTTAGGCAGTGCCTGCAGAACAGGATTCTGGCAAGTAAATGAACGGCGTGGGGGATTTTTTTATTTATTTTTTGGATTGGTTAATCTCCAGGTTTCTCATTCCTGGGGAGGGAGGGATCTGGTTGAATGTTAATTTCGAAGCCCTTGGTCGTGGATGGCTCGGTCATGTAGTTGTACTTCTTTGTCTCTCTCTCTCTCTCTCTCTCTCTCTTTACCTACATGCGCTACAACAGCACGCCCCTCTCCAACCCAGCTCACGTAATGCGCATTCTCCCAACCACCCCATCCCCCTCGTATCATTAGCCCACTGGGTTCCCGAGCGCCTAGGTTGCAGCGGGAAGAATTAGGAGAGATGACGATGGTAGGCGGGCGTGGCGATCCCTGCTTACGCTGTCACCTTTTTTTTATTTAGCGCGTGCAGCGTTGCAGACTCGGGTCGCCGAAACTCTTTGTTGCTAAGCGGGTTCGTCGATGATAAGGTCGCCTGGGTTTTAGGGCCGGTGGGATGTATATATATATATATATATATATATATGACGGAGGGGTGTGGTAGGGCTGTTTTCGGGATATGCAAATCTGAAGCTGCTTTGGGTTTTTATTTCCGTCCGACTTTTTTTGGAAAGCAATTGGTATACGCAGTTGCGTACTTGGTCTTTTGTTCAGGTACGAGATTGACGGGATTACGATTACCAGTATAGGATGACTTCCTCGAATAATACGGCAGATGTGGAGAAGGATGCTGTGGATGCGGATTATGCTCATTTGACGAATGAGGAGCTTCATCACTTTAGCTGGGACGGCGTGACGGTCACTGTGAAGGATCGGGGTACAAAGCAGCCTCTCGATCTTCTCTCCAATGTCAATGGCTTCGTCGAAGCCGGTAAGGCCTTCCACCTTATATTCCCATTTTCTCGGTACTAACAGACTTGTAGGTGAGATGATCGCCTTGATGGGCCCCAGTGGATCAGGTAAATTGCGTTTTCACAGTCTACTCCCTACACTGCTCATTCATCCCAGGAAAAACCACGCTCTTGAACGTTCTGGCACATCGCGCTGCAACAGCCAATTCGACGGGACAGCAAAACCTGCTGGTCAATGGGGCACCGACTAACCTTACTACCTTTCGAAAGCTGAGCTCGTATGTTGAACAAGAGGATGCTTTGGTTGGAAGTCTTACCGTAAGGGAGACGATGTACTTTGCAGCCAAGCTTGCGCTACCGAGGTATGTCTTTACTTACTTGTCCTTGATCCATCATCCAATACTTTACATGGTGTCTCATTAACAGGATACTGACTGGTGCTATCAAGCTCAGTGACGAAGAACGAACGCAAGGCACGAATTGACGGTCTGCTCTCTGCCTTTGGACTCCAGAACCAAGCCAATACCCTTATTGGTACACCAATTCGCAAAGGCCTCTCTGGTGGCCAGAAGAGGAGAGTCAGCGTGGCTAGTCAATTGATAACTAGTCCCAAGATACTGTTTCTGGATGAACCGACGAGCGGTTTGGACTCGGCAGCGAGTTTCGAGGTTATGAGCTTCGTAAGGGATGTCGCAAAGAAGCACAAGGTAATTCACTCATCATATATCCTTCCTGATTGTCATGAAAACTAACGACAGGGCAGATTTTGGTCATTGCTTCCATTCATCAGCCATCCACTACTACATTCGAACTATTTGACAAGCTCATGCTGCTTTCGCGTGGCAAGGTCGTGTACAATGGACCTGTGACTGCTATCAACGACTACTTTTCCCAACTGGGCTACGAGGTGCGCATCTCCAAGCCATGAATGATTGGACATACTGACAACCATAGATGCCACTTTATACGAATCCCGCCGAACATGTAATCCAGCTCGTGAATACCGACTTTTCGCACGACCAAGGGAAGTCGGCAGACCGTCTTACCCACCTCCACACCTCATGGGCCAACTCCAGCACCGCCGCCTCCATTGCTTCTCGCATCCACGAGACATCTTCAGCAAGCTCAGCCTTGCCCTCACATGCTACAGCCACAACGTCACCAAAGACAGCCAACCCCCTTTTCGTCCCACTAACACTCATCCACCGCTCCTTCATCAAGAGTTACCGCGACATCGTCGCCTACGGCATCCGCATCGCAATGTACATTGGGCTTGCCATCCTAATGGGCACCGTCTGGCTACGCCTTGACCCCGTCCAAGCCAACATCCAATCCTTCACCAATGCGATATTCTTCGGCGGAGCATTCATGTCCTTCATGGCCGTTGCCTACATCCCCGCCTTCCTCGAGGATCTCAGCATCTACACCAAAGAACGAGCGAATGGCCTGTACGGCCCCACGGCCTTTATGATTGCAAACTTCATCATCGGCATACCCTACCTCTTCCTCATCACCATTCTCTTCTCCGTTATTTCCTACTGGCTTGGCAACTTTCGCCCCACCGCAGACGGCTTCTGGATGTGGGTGCTCTGGCTCTTCCTCGATCTCCTGGCCGCCGAGTCGCTCGTCGTTCTCCTCTCCTCGCTGATCCCCATCTTCGTTGTTGCGCTGGCTGCGACGGCGTTTGCGAATGGGCTGTGGATGTGTGTGAATGGGTTCATGGTGCAGCCCGAGACGCTGAATGTCTTCTGGCGATATGTGTTTCACTATATTGATTACCAGGCCTACGTCTTCCGTGGCATGATGGTGAATGAGTTTGGCAAGCGGAATTATTCGTGCGAGATGCTGGAGGGGGGAGGGTGTCAGTGCATGTATCCCAGCGCTCTGCAGGATCAGTGTATGGTGGAGGGCAAGGCGGTGTTGGGGATGTATGGGTATAATACTGCGAATGTGGGCAGGTATGTTGGGTATATGCTGGTGATTGTGTTTGTGTATCGGGTGTTGGGCTGGGTGGTGCTGATGTTGAGGAAGCATTAAGGTGCTTCGGTATGGTGATTTGGTGGACACTGATATCTCAGGTAATCGCATAATCATAATAGATAGTTCCCAGGGTAGGTACCGGTAGATCGCATGCGTAGACATGATCAATACTCCACTTTACATTCTAGAGGCTAGATCTCACCGCAGCCATGTGCAATTCACGAGACTCAACCCTTGACCGGTTATCAGCTTCATCCTACTAGGCATCAGCTGGTGAGATATATGAGTAAGCAACATGGTGTTCGCTCTCTCCAAAGAGCGAGCCTAGTCTTGATCTCCTCTAGTGCAATGGACAACTCCCCCATTGGGATCAACCTTGTACGTCACCTATATGTAGACGACACTTCCAGTTCTCGATATCGAACAGGCATGCTCATCTCTCGCATAAGTACCTCCAGAAATCTTGTCTTCAACCTCGCAACTTCTTCACGGAATTTTGCATTCCAAGCCTCGAGATCTTTCTCCCAGACAAGACGCATCATGGCACCTGTTCCCATCGTCCTATGCGGTCTGCATGCGACTATCGCAACTACGGTTCGCAAGGGATTGCTACCTGAATTTGATGGTATGTAAAAAGATGCATCTTGAGAATACATCTTGAGAGATTTTCGCCATTCATGTGCAGTACACGTCAAACCAGTCTACACATGTACCAGCACACCCTCACTCACATCTAACACCACAACCCAGTCATCCACATCGTTCTCTCCGTCGAATCCGGCGTCTCAGACATCCCCCTCTTGCTCAATTCCCAGCCCCCACCCAACGCCTCCTCCAACCACGGCTCGCAAAACTACACCAAGCCTCCCCTCGCAGTTGCGCTTGGCGGCGGCTTTGACGACGAATTGTTCGACAAGATCAAGGGCGCCTGTGATGGTGCGCCGCATATCGCGTGGCTGAGAACGGATAAGAGTAAGATGCCTGGCCCGCCACAGCCGGATCATTTGGAGGAGTATGGGGACATTGTGGCTGAGAGGCTGAAGAAGAGATTGAGTGAATTGAAGATTGGAGAGGAGGGTGCAGTGGCCGAGGGTGTGTTTTGGTTTTGAAGGCGGTTGTGTATGGCGCGCACTTTTGTTTGCTTGAATGGGATGGGTGTGGATGGCGTGGCTTGCCTGTTAGAAGGTTAGCGTTGTGACCCCACTTTGACTATGGTATACATTCACTGGACGGGGCCTTGGCAACGTGACTCATTTTGTATCATACCGATCAGCTTGGCAAATCTAGGACCGTTTTGTCACTTGTGTATCCTATGGATGTTTTTATTCTGGGGTCAATTGAAATTCGCGCCGGGTTGTGAAGGGTGATGAGATTGGTGGGCAAGCATAAAGGAGACTATTCCCTTGAGGTGAGCAGCTCCCATTCCAGCCTGATGCAAATCCTGCCTTTTTCCTTCGACATAAATTGCCATTTCCAAGAATTCGTTGAACGAGTTTAAAATAGACATGGATGCAACGGCCCCTAATCTCCATCTTACCACCATAGATGGTCTGCGCAACTGTCTCATTGCAACAGGTCAATCAAACGACGACGAGATCGTCCTCCTCTCTGGTGGAAACGCAAACTACGTCTACCGAGTCACTGGCACGGACAGTTCGACCAGAATCTACAAACATGCGGCACCTTACTCACGCTCCAGCAAGGACTTTGCGCTTGACGTCCGCCGCATGGACTATGAAGCCTTCATCTTGAACTTCCTTTCCACTGTACCCCCAACATCACACACATCCGGACAAACCACAATTACAGTACAGACTCCGTCTCTGGTCAGCTACGACCAACCTCAAAAGCTCCTATGCATCACCGACGGCGGGACTCGCAACCTAAAAGCCGCATACGATGATCCCAAACTCGACATCCCAGCCGTCGGACACGCTCTAGCACACTGGCTCGCAGACCTACACCACACCTCGAAACCCACTTCTCTCACCCCATCGACACCGTCTTCACAAACAAACACCGTTGATACACCAACCACGCCACACCAGCAGACCCACAACAACAACCCCATTGCCCTACACCTTTACCGCCACTCCTACGACAACCTCCATCTCGCCCTCCAAGACTTCTCACACGACCCCCAACTCGGCAAAACCATAAACACGCAATTCGGCACCCTCCTCGCCACAGACAACGAATGCATCTGCCACGGCGACTTCTGGCCCGGCAACATCCTACTGCACACGGGACCTGCACCACACGCCGCGGCAACGAAGCTCGAGCTCAGCATTGTAGACTGGGAACTCGTTCGGCGCGGCACGAGCGCTACGGACGTGGGGCAGTTTGCGGCTGAGGCTTGGTTGCATGATCGGTTTAGGGGTGGTAGGGGCCTGTTGCGCGCGTTTTTGGAGGCGTATGCGGGGCGCAGAGGAGGGGTGGGTGCGGGGTGGGTGAGGAGGATGGTGGTGCATTGGGCGGTGCATGTTGCGTTTTGGCCGACGAGGGTGGAGTGGGCTGATTTGGAGGGGACGCGGGTGGTGGTTGGTATGGGGGTTGAGGTGTTGAAGGCGGTGTTGGAGGGGGACTGGGAGAGGATTTTTGGGACGGGGTTGCTGGGAGGTGTGGGGGATGTTTTGAGGGGGATGGTGGTGTGAGTGGGGGGGTGGGTGTGTTGTTAGGATGTGCTTCCGGGTGGTTTCTTGTGTGCACTTGGTGCGTGCTTTGTGGTTCACCCGTCAACTGCTGACACGTCTTTCTGCACCTCCCCTGACTTGGAAGAACGAAGGGCTACATGAGTGTTGTATGGTGTATCTTGAATCCTTGCTGAGTAGCTCGATTGCCTACCATGTTATGATGTTGCGACTGATTCCTCTGTTTCCTGGATGTACTGACGT